ATCATAAAAATGTTCAGGTGGGGGCTGCTGTAACCCTCGTCTCGACCAGGAAGAGAAACGTACCGTCACGTTCGCATATGTGGCTCTGCCCGGCCAAGAGGGATCGTCTCGAGATACTTTGAACCGTGGGACACGTACGGGCTAGAGTTCCACGAAAGTAATTTCGTGCCCGCGTTCTCCCGTCGTCGCGCACTTTTTGCCGGCGATATCGTCGGAATTTGGTCCGGTAACGGATAAAACGCGACGGAGACGCGAAGGGAGGCCGCGAGATACGGATTACATGTTACTTTGAACCGTTATTATCGAGCCCAGATTCTCCGTGTATATTTAGAAGTCGAAGTTACATGTCGACCGTTACGTTATCGGTCAGCTCTTGAAACGGGGTGCCTAGATATCTCCGACTATTACACGTGGTGTCGGAGAAGCTGATGATCCATGAATGACGAATTAGCGCAAACCTATCGGTCGGTGGCGGGGAGTTCGCGCCATAGGTCGTCGTCGATGATGCAGACCGCGAGCTGATTTCCAAGCCGACTTGCACAGAGGGTATTCGTATCTGGCTGGTTATCTCGCAAGTAACGGGTCATCGGACGTCTCGAGACCTACATATCGTTCGCCGTTTGATACACAGAACTACGGGTATCCAGAGCGTGGCGAGCGTGGGGGGCATGGCTGGCATTTTCCTCGGCAATCTTTTCCTATAAATTGCGTCAATGAGCCCGGCGCGCCGATATCGCCGATTGCAGCCAGCCGCGAAACACAGAACAGCCTTCATTCGCCGGCAACCTCACTGGCGACTCTCTCGGCTCGAAAGTTATCTACTTTCCCCTATGACTATAGCACCGAGCGGAATTTTCACGCCCTTCCCAGCTCACGGCTGGAATACTAACGAGGAGAGGTCCCTAGGCTGGACCGATTAGGCAACGAGTTTTTGCAGACTGGGGACAGCGTGGTTTTTGGGAGAGCGTAGTTGTTCATAGTATATCTTTTCTACAAAAGACATCCGGAAGAATAAAAAATTATTTCGTTTTACGATAACTGCAATAAAAAGAAAGAATTGAATTCTCGTAACACTGTAATGGAAAAATTCATGCTTAAAGAGTCAGAATTTGTATTCTTCAAGAATAATGTTCTTCATTTGAAAGGAAATAAAATACGAGCTAATACGTTTCTGTATTCTATTACTGGAAAATTCCATCATGAATATCCATTCATAATTTATCTACGACTGCAGTAGCTACGACTTACAAGGCCCGAAGTCAATGAAACACTAAAGGTTACGTATGCGCGAGTATCGAGAGATTAGGATGGCTTGATAAATACGAATCGGACACGCGCGATAGAACTTATGGTCGAGTGAGACGGTATAGGTGCACTCGCCCTATGTGGAAAGAATGCAGTCGGTATTGTTCCGCCTTTTTTTTTTATCACTGTGGTCGTAATTATTGCGCGTCTAATGGAACGTAACACTGAACTCTCCGTCTCTATCAAACTAAATTCTATCATTTTTATCGGCTGGAATCCAGTTTCCGATCCGACACTCGTTTCGTTTATCTTCCAACCGGATCGGAGTAATGTCTATAATACGTTCACTTCTGGAGCGAGCATGGGGGGTAACTATGTATTTCAGCCTTCGCCCTAGAAATATTCGCCTAGTCGGGACGGATGCCGCCGCGCCCTGTCGGAAACTGAAACGGAAATCAAAACTCGCGTGGGGGAGGCGCATTGTTCACCTTTCGTGTTTTCAACTAATCTTACGTAATATATAAATTAACGTCGTAATTATCGCGTAACATTTTAATTCATGTTTTTAATCGTGTCATATTAAAATTATATTCGACCATAATTTCCTAAACCGTAAACGTTCTTTCTATATTCATATATCACCTTATTTAAATACACAAACAAAACTGAAAGGGCGTAACAATCGGAACCGCTAAGAAGATCGAAACAATAACGGATACAAAACAGATCTCCGTTAGGAGATACGTCACACCGACGTGACATATGTAAACGTACGCGATACCAAAACGTGACATTGCTAATCAAAGATTAATCTTCGTTCGAAGATGGAGCAGGGTCACCCACTCCCACGCAGTCGACCATGATTATCCTCGCAGGATTCGACGGACAAAAATGGCGAGACTTGGTAGCGATAGAAGTTCGAAGCGGGTCTCCACCCTGTTTTTCGGAGCATGTCTGCCGGCGAAGCGACCGTTCGATATCGCGAAAACTCTTCCCTTCCCCATTTTCCCCTCGGCACCTCCCGCGGTTCACCGTCTCGCGGTCGCCTATCCCAACGAGAGAGGAGAGTCGATCGATTCGCGTCGACGTAGTACTATGGCCTGCTTACACGGAGAGCACTGACCCCCAAGGTCGCTCTTACGCGGTTGCACGTGCTGCGGCAAATTGACGCTAACCCTCCCCCTTCCCCTCTCGTGACCAACACCTCCCTCCCCTCGTCCACCACCTCCACCATCTCTGCAATCTCCACCACCGCGCACGGCCATCGCGAACGCGACTGGGCTCGCAGTTTGCGTGGTACCACTACGTCGACTCTCTTTTTCTCGCGGTAACCGTTTCTAACTTTCCTCCTACCGCGCGAGCGTCGCGATCGCCGAGACGTATCGGTTCGCGGCGGCGACCTCGTCCGCGGCCACCTTGATCCAATCGCGACGGAGTTCCGCGTGACACACGCACTCGATGATTGCTTTCCTCGGCGCCTCGTGTCGTCGATCTTTATCGAACGATCGAGCTGTCCGTTCGCGTCGAATTCGACGTTCGTTGTTCGCGAAGTGAGACAGGCACGGCAATAGCGATCCGGTTGCTCCGATTCTTAGGATTCGGAATTGACGGATTACAGTAAAATTAGATTAACTCGTAGGGTCTTGCACAACTCAGAACCAGTACGAAACGAATTCTTACGGCGTTCAGTGAAAGTCAGAAGTAAGTACGCATAAATGAGGTCAACTGCGTCTTTAGAGTCGACTTCCGCGTTCACGATTCGCGGGCTTCTTTCTTCAAATACATCGGTGAACCGCGTCCAATTAAACATTCGATGGTATCGACTTACACGCGTTAACTGGCCCGACCGATGACAGTGAAATGAAATACGAGACACTTCCTTCCTCGGCGAGTGCTCATCCTCCTTCCATCCGTCTGCGTATGATACGATTTCGAAAACGACGAAAAGAAAGGAAGAAAAAGAGGGAAATTGAGTGGCGAAGATAGAGACGGCACGTGCGTGGTCGAATTAGAAACGACGCTATTCCAGGGGCGGGAAAAGAAAAGATAGAGAGGGGTGAAGTAGGTTCGAGTCCGTCGCTGATTCCTAGCGGTCGGTTAGGTGCCTTCTGGTTATTTTTAGAAGTTTCGCGCCTTTTAGCAATTGCTCACCGCGACCTGGCCACGCGCCAATTTCGGCGAAGATTTCGTGTGTCTGGCCGCCGGCGCGATGAAACACGTGGAAGCTGGTGTTACGACCGGGAAGATTGCATACGTTGCTTCACACGTATGTGCAACGCATGGCGGCATCTCGTTCGGTCGCTTCCTCGTTCCTCGACTCCTTTCCGCTTGGCCCCGTTTGCGTCGTCGTTCAAGGGATCACTCGGGCAATTTTAAATTAACAGTCTTTTCTGTTTACGTTTTCTCGAGGTTTCGACAATTGATAATATTATCTCGAAGAGCATCACGGTGAAATTTGACGAGTTGAGGATTTTATAGAACTTTAACACGTTGACTGCCAGATAAATATTCTTGAAAGTTTCTGCTAATGTAAACGAAATATTATTTAAACATAAAACTTCGCTGGGAGTGAATAGAAATATTGCTTTAAAAGTATGTTAAATGATCGATTAAGCTTGTTGAGAGGTCAGAAAATGAGCGAATCGTGTAGATCGACGGGGGTCAGACATAATTGGACCGAGGTGGCTCGTTGTGAAACGCGTTACATCGACATTGAGCGATTGTATTTCGAAGCTGTCCTTGAGGAAAGAGTTATGACCCGTATCCGCACGAGAGAGGAATCTGGACCAACCGGATTTCCACTGATTGTGCCAGACGCCATGGATGACACAGTTTGCAGAAACGCCCACGGTGTCGTATGTCCCTTCGAACGCCTCTGCAGCCACGTGTTCCCGAAGGATTCTGTCACAACGTCGCGCAATCTTCCTCCGCCATGTGGAACAGCGCCTGCAACGACGAGAATCTTGAGATAAACGATATAAATTCTTTGCGCTCGATAAAACTTTCATGGAAATGTCCTCCCATCGCGAAAGCCTGGGAAAAGTCTAACACGTGGACGACACGATATTCTTGTTTCATGGTTTTACTTGTGAACAATTCTCGTGTGGAGGTTGCTTAATGAAATTTATGATTTCTTGGGAACAATTGCTTATAATTCTGAAACAGAGAAGATGGAGAACATTTTTCTAATAGTAGCGTGGCCTTCAGAGTTTTCAAGAAAGCTTCTTCAGTGGTACCACGAGAGTGTTTTAAGAATATCAAGGGGCAAACATCCGGCATAATCTCTTCTTTTCGAGTCTTGTTCTCTTATTTCTCGAAAAGCCGTGTCACGATCTTTCCGCTGTTTGCAGTCAGCCTTCACCCTGAATATAGAATTGTCGAGGTTAGGACAGAGGCGTGCTTGTTCCGTTCCAGCCAATTAGCAACGTTTTACGGCTGTCCGTGGTCGCTGATGGCTTCTCAAAGAAGATGAGCCACTCGAGACGTTTGTGTCTCTGAAAGACGTGGGCGGCAGCATCGGTCTTCGTATTTATTTTTCGAAATTTGCGACGTTACTTTCCAACGAACCGTGGTCGCTAATTTATCTATTTTAAGGTGTGCTTAAAACGGAATAGTTTGAAAAATACTACACCATATTTTGTATTTTACAAGAAACTCATTATATATGAGAAACCGAGAATTTTTCAACGTTATCGCTCCACGTTGCTACAGATGCGGACAACCCTAACCTTTCTTCCTGTTTCTTTTTGTTGCAGAGGAGGAAGAGATAGACGTAGTGACCTTCGAGAAACCCTGCAGACCAGCGGCCCTGCCGACGTACCCGAGTCCGGCGGACCAACAGCACTTCCAGTTGACGGTGAACACCGCGTTCAAAGACAAGAACCCGGGCCCGAGACCTCGTGGCAGGCCTCCGTCGAACCCAGCGCGAAAAAGGACCGCGCAGCCTGACCACAAGCCGGCAAAACGGGCGCGTCACAGGCAATACCAGAGGAGAAACAAGGTAGGACGATGTATGACCGTGCCGTCGCCACCGATGAAGATGACCGTGCAGACAGTCTCGAGAAGTTCCTCAGACGACGAGCTGGACACAGAGAAGAGGAGTTTGCACAACAACATGGAACGCCAGAGGCGGATAGAGCTTCGAAACGCGTTCGAGGAGCTGCGGGTTCTCGTTCCAGCGGTCGAGTCGAAAGAGAAGGCGCCGAAAGTCGCCATATTGAGGCAGGCATCCGTGTACTGTGATATGCTGACAGAGATCGGCCAGATCACCGTGGCCAAGGTGACGGATCTCAGAAGGCGACAGGAGAAGCTCAGAGCAAGACTCCGTCAGCTGCGGACGAGTCTCGCCATGACGCGTTGAGGGGAGACTCAGGGAATCGTATCAGATTCGGCCAGCCGGCTAACCCCCGCGCCATACGCTTGAGTCTAATTGAAAGTGGATCGGCAGCAATCTCTCTGCTCAACGTTTGTGGAGATTTCGTTGCCCTTGCGAGACCATCGAAGAGGTCTTCAGGCGATCCACCGAGGGGGAATATGTGCGGGCGGGCATTTCGTAGCCTGGCTCGAGCGGAAGAGCCCCTTCGTGTTCGACGGTTCCACGATTCACTCGATCGAACGAATCGCGAAACGTCGGACACTGGCGAATCTTTCGGTAGTTTTTAACGGAGGAGTATCATCGAGTTTCGTTTACCTGATATACATAGAGCCGAGTACTGTCGACCACACACCGAACAGAATACGTTAAAATTGGTGCCAAATATTAGGAGTCGAGGAGATCGAAGGGAGATGGGCAAAGTTTGATTCGGACGACGAACGATTGGAAATACTGCGTAAAACGAATCGTTTGCCACGTTTGATGGATCGGTTAAAGAGCGTTTTTGTTAGCTACACGTTGGATGACATTCTACAATTCAAATTAGCGGGAAATAAAAAGTTGTTTATCTGTTACTCGGGTACGCGAGATTTTTATCTGGATAAGTTTGCCCATCTCTCGGCGAATACTGGGTTCGGCTAGCGTACCACCGACCGGAGATTTCAATGCTTTCTTGCTTCTCTTCTTCTTCTTCTTCTTCTTCTTCTTCTTCTTCTTCTTCTTCTTC